CTGCACGTCACAGACATCACTCCGAAAACCAGGATCAGGGTGGACCAAAACTCACACTCGAAAGTTTTGTCGGTTACTATTCTTTCTCTATATCAATAGTTGGGCAAAAGTATAGACATATTATTAACGATTAATAATGGTCTTTAAAATGAGGTGTCACTTTATTGGGCTTTATATTTAAAAACTTTGAGCTGCCCCCAAATAAACCCATTTTGGAGTCCTGGACAAAATTGTCTTAACTATTAAAAAGTAGTTTTTAGTTTCTTAGTACGGTACTATTGAATTTAGCTTTCCTGCTTCAACACATAATAGTATATTACGTTACTAGTCCTGAAAATAGGTATTTACCGGACGAGTGGGGTCGTTCTAGTGCGAGACGAAGTAGAGTACGGTATTACCATGTGAGTCCCATGCATATTTTTACATGGGGCTCTGAGGCTGATACAAAAGAAAAACGTCCGCCATTCTGTAACGGTGAGATATATCCCTCTAGTTTTACCGATATTCTTTTACATTAAAAGCCTTTAAAATCAGGTGTCACTTGATGGGGCTTTAAGCAGAGGTATAGGTATATAGAGGTGTGCAAAGTTTGTTTTTTCTGGTGTAACCCATTAAAAAGTTAATAGGGAGTGTCTATACTTTTGCTTAACGCTCTATGCCTACTATGTATATGAAGAAAAAGTAAAAAAAAGGCTTTTAGATCTGCTTCTAAATAAGTCTAGCATTGCTGTTCATAATACAATAACGATAATATTAATAGGACACACCACCACCGAATACTTGACTTAATCTTTTGGTACATTACCACTAAGACTTCAAATGTTTTATTTGCTTTTTTCAACCAGTTAGTTGTGTGAAAGTGTAATACAAAAAGCTACTGTATTGATAAATGTAGACATTGTAATTCACTTACTTTTTCAGATGAAACCAATCAGCCAAACAACTGAAAGTTCAAAACCGGGGCACCAAGAGATGTTATAATTGGAATAGATTGGAATATATATAGAACCAAATCACGGAGTTTCACGATGGTCGGGTAGACGTTTAGGTAAATAAGATTATAGTCATATAGTCGGATGGAACAATCTGACATACATTTGATTTTGATGTATTACCCCATAAAAATATTTAAGTTTAACTAGTCTTTATAGTTCGCTTTTTAAGAATGAAAGTCACACCATTGATACAAGCTTTATGGCTTAAGTATAGTATGCAACTCACAGGATTATTATGAGATTGTAAGTTCTTTGTAAAACACATCCTACACCATCACACACAGTTTCTCAACAACTGTGATTTCCATACTCATTATCTTGCGGTGGTAATCCTAGTTATATTGATGGTAATAAACGCAGTCAACTCAATCAGGTTTGGCAACCAATTCTACATCCTTCAACTGGACATTGAAAACTCAGAAACCAAACCGTTCGTAGTTATGTCTACTGCTTCCACTCTGACTACCTACTCTGCTCATTACTAGCGAGAACCGCCCCTCCATCGCCAGGAAGCCCGATTTGCAATTTGGTTTGAATTATAGCCAAGTCTAAAAAACCAATATCTATCTGTAACCTTTGAATTGGCCACAATTCTGCTTGAGCTTTAATGAAGAAATTATCTTTGAGGAGCTGCTCCTCACGATTTCCATTCCATTTGGCGTGCTCAATTGTGATAACAGATTTGTTAGTTTACGACTGAAAAACATAAAATGGGATACTGATAATACTGATATATTGATATAAATTTAATGTTGGTTGTTCCTTAATTAACTAGTAGAATTTTGTGCTTAGCAAGGGAATGACAAGGCTTAGGTGGATCTATAACACGTAACAAATCCAGCTGTCCACTATTTAGCTACAAAAAAAACAGTTTGTGTGTTTATTGACTGAGCTAGATAACAGCGACGCGGCGCAGGGTGATCAACTGGCCCGCATGCGCTCTCTTTGCCGACACCCAGCTCTTCACCCGGTGTCCTAGATGACTAACCAATAATATATTTGTATACCTTGAAAAACGTACTAAAACTTTGGTTGAACCTTATTTGCGTATTATGTCTATTTAAAAGTATATATATATAGAGAAAAACAAAATGGTGTACTCTGAAACAAAGCGTTCAACGAAGTTTAAATTTATATCTCCCTAAATACTGGTTTTATAAAGAAAAATGTTAAATACAAAGGTTGTTGGAAAACCAATTAAAAATAAGACAAAACAAATTGCAACACAATATATTTATGTATACATAGATAGTATTCGACGGTCAGTTAAGAGAAATACTGCAATTTCTAGGTTTGGAGGTGGTGGGAGGTGAAGTGGGGACTTTTGGGATAATACACCTTTCATGTGGTTCTATCACATTTAAAAAATCTAGCTTTCCCCTAATAAGTTGCGAATAAACCCCTTCATTGACTGGGCTATAATATTGTGTTGTTATTTTGTCGCCAACATGGTAACAAATAAGGCCCAAGTTAAATTTTAAAGTTTTACATTCATTTTTTGTGTTTTTTTTCAGCCTATTTTAATTTATAAAGGGATTCTGCACATGCGTAGATTTTCCCTGTGATGCCACAGGGGCTGAGAAAAAAGGTTTTCAATAAACATGCTTGTCTATAGAATTACCTCCATGTTAAATCTCCATAAGAAAAGTTGAATTTATCTTTTTTTTACCCAATTAACATAAATATTCTCAAAATACAAATAAAACCTGCACATGTAGGACCAATAACCTTTCTTTTGGTATAACCCGCGTGTAATTTGGTCCGGTAGTATGGTCAGGTTAGCTCCCATAAGTTTTGCAATTTTTTTAGCCTATAAGATTATCTGGTTAAAAAAATCCATTTATTCCTATAACGATGTATTTTACACCCCCCCCCCCACCGTAGACTTTTTATTGGACCTCTTGGAATAATTTTTTTCGATTTGTATTTAATTTCTTATGAAAATATATTATTTTTGTTTTTGTTGCTTACATTTGGGAAAGCAAGTTTGTTCTTTTTAGAAACTAGATAAATTTTTATTTGACACAAATCAATGTACATTATTTATTTATTATGTGCCGACCACTCTCCATTTTGATCCCAGGGACAGAGCATGAAAACAAGCTTCAAAAATGCACCCCAGCTCATTCTCCAGCGGGCCCGCGGTGTGCGATTTTGTAGTTAATGCTGCTCATATTTCTCGCGTTTTCTCACGCTGCGTTCTTGCGTGAAAAAACGCACGCGTGGCCGTAGCCATACTGTCTTTGCTTGATATAATAATAACAGGCAAATTAATTTGACAATAGTCCAAACTGGCAAATTTAATATAAAATACTAATTTAGCCGTTTCAGATTTATATAAAAATTAAAAAAAACAAACAAGTTCAACCAGAGACAAAAGAGTACTTCATTGTCTGTGGTTAAATTAAGATTTCAAAGAGCTACTATTGCAACTATATATTTTCTCTTTGAATTACTTACCATAGTATGACAGTGAGTAGGTAGGGTCATCATAAAATATAGTACGGCTGATTGATTATTCTTTCTATTAGGAAGGATTTAAAAAGTGTACAAGAATGAAACCAGTATTTGCCAGTGTCTGTTCGATTCAATTAAGTTTTTAAACTACACCGGAATCACCAGTTCGGCATCCATGTTTAATATTGCAAGGAACGTGTACATATTAATGTATTGATAGCCAAAGGTATACCTATTTAATGTTAATAAAATAACTCGATTAACAAATTCAAAAAATTTTCATTGAGGATAAGGTATATTAAAATCAGTTGATAGAATAAATAATTACATTTCAATAAATAAAATACTGTAACAACAGACTAGATCTACAGTACACACAAAGATTTATATACACACACATACCCCAAAAGGGGAAAATTTATTATTTTATCGTGCAGTAAAATATTAGCACAGCACTACTACAAAAGAAACAAAAACAAATAAAACGCCTTGGTTAATAAATAATAATATTTTAGTCATTAATTCAACAGCAATATCATAAGTTAACTATTAATAATTTAAATAAATATGTTTCTCTTAATATAAGAAAATATCATAATGATTTTATGGTACTAACCTAATATCAAAATAGTATATTGAAAATCATATAAACACAAAACACAATACTGAAGTACCATGATTAATATCAAGTATAATATCAATGTCTTGTCAAAGCTCTGCATTGGCATACCTGTCGCCATAAGTCATATCATTTCAACAATATGCTTGGTTCATTATTAATAACAAAACTAATATGTTAAATCAAACGCACCAGCTCAAGATTGTTTAAAAATACTACAATTGTGTACAATAAGTTGGTAATTAATTTACCAAACAATTACAATGGAAGTTTCCTTAAAAAGGCACATAACGTATGTAAAAATGCATGTAGTAATATAAGGTACTTGGGTTTGGAAAAAAACGATCCACCAAAACAATACAATACTATCATAACAACCAACAATGGTATAACAGTCTTCAATAGTGTAAAAAGAGCAAAGGACATCATTGCCACTCGAAAACTGTAGATCGGAGAGCGGAAATGACTGTTCTTGTAATACACAAGATGTTTCTTAACACAATTATTACCATTATCATAACACACAGATGAACTTTTTGGTTGAATGTAAAATGTTTTCAAGGTTGTGTTTGCTTTTTAGGTTGTTTTATTTTTTATTTGCTTACTATGTTAGTGTTTTATAGAAATGCCAACAGTGAAATCATCTGATTTAGCTAGTGAGAACGAATAAGCGAAAATTAGTTATTTTGCTTACTGTTTACAGGTTTGGCAATGTAATTATCACCCAAACGATATTAATAGTCAATATTACTAAAACCGCTTTGTCGATGTATCTTGCCGAGCGAGGTTTTTGGGATGAAAGATACCGAGGATTATTCTTATCTATGGTTTAAAACCCGCTATTATTTTACATTGTTAAACTTTATATTCAGATCCCAAACGATTAAACTTGGAAACAAATTTTAACAAACCAATGAAAACAACATGGCAAAAACAGCATCTTAGAGTTTTAAATCAAGACAATTACTGTCTATCCCTCCCATCTGTCTCCCAACTCTTTCCATTCTGATGTTCATACTCACTCTTCCCCTGTTCTCTTTCCCATCCATTGTCCCTTGGGCTGTGTTCCTCTTCATACAAGGAAGTTGCTACTTTGTCACTGTATCTGTACTGAAGGTCCACCCCACGATAGCAAACCATCTTCAGGGTCTGAGGGTTCGGGGGGCTCACCTCCAGAGCCCTGAGGTACTCGTCGTAGGCCGTCGTCATCTCCAAGTGGTGGCTGAAGCTGATAACGAGCGGGTGGAGAGGATTAAGTTGCATGTCGAAAACTAGGTGCTTTAAGATGGCTCTTACCCGTTCATGATACCCCTGGAACAACAGGTCATGGTCGTCTTTGGGGGAACTCATCTGAAAAAGAAAAAAATATAAGTGTAAAATGAACATGGATATTGCAAAACGCTACAAAAATATTAACAACTTTGTACAGAACTAAGGTCACGGGCCGTGCGTCGCAGAAGTTCTTCGTCCACTGGAGCGTCACGTACGGCGCCGGTAGAAGGTAGGTTGACTCAACTTCATGACTGTGTCATCTACACCTGGACCTTCTACCGGCGCCGTACGTGTCCGATGTTTATTACGCGCTTTTTCGTTTTGTGTTTTGGCCAATCAGTGTTAAATGTTTCGTGTACATGTATATGTGTTATTTTTGGTGAACTTTAAACCTCATGACGACCATTCTATGGAATAAATCAATGCAACTATTTGACCTGAAGATGTGTTAATATTAACATGAAACAGCTGTAGTCAACCAACTACAAACCAGGACCACTTGACGGATACAGGTAATTTAAACCTTCTATTGTTAAAATCAGTGATCCAGAGGCTATACCATAAAAATGAAATTGCATATTTAAACTATTTTAGTGGCAACGGTATAGTATTTAGTCCCTTAAGGGGCATTTGAACTTAGTAATATATGATTAGTTTACGAGTAGCCTATTGGATCACCGTCTATGTTGGCTGATTGTGCAAACCGACTTATTGGTTAAATTAGGAAGAGTTCACGCGAGAAGGGCTCATCAGCAGGAAAAGGAAGTCCGCCTGCTTCAATAATGTACTGTACAACTAGGGAACAAAGAGCATTTACTGAGAAGCATTGCTCAGTTCGTCAACACTTAATAGATCGGTCGAGTCGCCACACAGAATAAAACAGATTGTGTGGTATATAAGTAAATCCATTTTGAAAGAAGTCCGAATAAACCTTTTTTTTAAGTTAAATCATTTCGAAAACCCGCATAAAATAACTTAGAAACAAATACTTATACTTTGCTTGGAATTCAAAATCACTTTCCACATTCTACAATAATTACAACAGACCCAATGTGGGCGTATTGGTCTTGGTCAATACGGCCGGGGACCCCCTGAGGCAGGACCCCTGCGCTGAACTGCAATTGTCTGGAGAAGGTCATTTACTATGGAGCGAACGTATCAATCTTGCGAAAGGAGAATAGATCAGAGAAATTTAAGTTCAGAGAAACTGGTGTTGGAATTTGGAGTTACTCTTTGAATATCATTTAAAGGTGACGCCAACCATCAAAGTTTAACAGGTTTACAACTTTGATAAAATAACACTAAAATTACCTGAATGTTCGCCTCAATATTTAGCTTAATATTGACAGAAAGTGACATGGGACTATTACAAAGTATACATTAAACAATATTTCCATTATTATGTATAAGGAAAAAGCTAATCTCCATACAGCCGAGCTATTCGAAAATCGTCGATTTCCAGCCTAGCAAAACATTAGTTATTTGTGTAACTACTGTAGTAGTTTCTCGAGTGCAGCAAAGGCAGTTTGCACTCGTGTTACACATTATATTTTTCCTACAGTCACTATAAAGCATATAAATAATTAGTCCTTCAAACACTATACAACACGTTTTTAGGTTCAGCTGGCAACACAAATAGGTGCCCTAGAGAAAGTAGTCCCCGGTCCGTATCACTCCGCCATTTTTCCTCGGCAAGCAATGTGCTCCGCGACTTGAGAAAATAGTTCCGTATATTTTAGTAATTTGCAGTGGTTTCCGCGCCTAAAAAATGCTTTAAAGGTATTTTATTGTTTATTATTATCATAGGAATGTTTTAAACACGTTTTAATGAAAATTCCAGAAAGTTCAGAAATACCGAAAAGACATTAAAAAAAACACGTCGTGTTAAAGATAAACTATAAACACGAAATGACAGGTTAAATCGTAGTTATAATAGTCAATCAGCTGCTCATAGTATTATTATCCTTTAAGTGTTGCCAACCTATTTCCAAGCGTACACGGATTACGTGCGTAATAGAACCACGCTGTTTTGTGTTGTTTCGTTGGAATCCTGATGTGCGACAAAGTATAAACCGTACGACAAAGTATAAACCTTACGACAAAGTATAAATATGCAGCAATTAGCAGCTTTCTGTACTATAAACAGTACAAGGAAGCCAACTTTGTCGGGTGACTGTAGGAAAAGGATTTTGCCTTTCCCAAACAGGCCAAGTTTATGTTTAGGTTAACAAGAACAACGTTTGAATTATTTTATTACTAGAAATAGTTATCAACAGCCGACTTTAAAATATATTGCCAACGTATGTTATGGCAACCTTAAACAGAATCACTAGACTATAGAATAGTATTTTATTATTTAAAAACAAGAAGCTTCGTATGATTTGTTTGCATCGTGATGAAAAGTATTGGTGACTATTCGAATTATACATTTTAGGGGGTCGTTTTCGCCACATTCCACTATCTTGTGCCGAAATGGGTCACTTTCGGAACTGGTAGTAAAATATACATTGATTTATGATTGTAATAAAGTGGAAAGTATCATACTGTATTAGAACTCTTTCATTTTCTTGATAATCCAGATCAGAAGTCTTCGATTTTAGGTACAGGATACATCTATTATTAAATAAATAGAGTAACGTTTTCTATTATTACCACACGTGAAATTTTACCAAAACTATTACAGTAGCACTTCAGTAGAAGGCAATGAAGTAGTGGACACACAGTGGCAGTGGAATAAAGAGCCGTTATATAGTATGGTGGCAGCTACGGAGGGTAGAAGTTTTTTTTAGCAATTTGTTACTTAAATGTATTTTGTGTTTACATACAATTACATGATGTTAAAGAAAAACATAGGGGCCTCCAGGTCAATTTATTTTATTAGTATGAATGATGCCACCTCATCCGTTCTCCTTACTCATATCCTGACCCAGGATGCTGTGTTTTTGTTCCGAAAAACTATTTATTGAAATCTACAACAATGTTTGACACAATCCTCAATATTAAACGACACAATGTAACGTGTCTCTTTAACAAAAGATAAATACAATGACCACAACTATAGCTTACACCTTACAAGTGTAGTAAGGGCGTTTTTACATCATGCAGGTGAATGTTGTGCAACGAGCGGAAGCGAGTAGCATAATTCACTTAAGTGATGTAAACACGCTCTTGCGTAACGTGTAACGTACAAGATTTTACCTGACCCGACAATGTGCAGGGGGTTACGTACAATATTTTTCATTATCCATTTCACTTATCTTCTAACAGTAACGTTCATTTAAAAACAAAAGCTAGGTTAGGAAAATTCCTTAAAGCATAACAATAACATTCAAGCGCACAGCTGGTTTCTAGCGTTCAACGTCGTCGGCTCCATAGAGGTATATTTTTTTTAAGTTGAGCACTTAATCTTCTATATAAATAAAATTAGAGTTTTGTCTGTACATTGCTCAGAATTATATATATTAAGGTTATTTTTACGTTTTATACATTACAGAAGCAGAAACAAGTCTTATCTCTATTTCTGTCTGTCTGTCTGTCCGTCTGTCTGTCTGTCTGTAATACTCAAGATGGCATTTTCCGCAATCTTCTCCATGAAAACGAGAGTACCTATCAATATCCAAGTCATTTTAATGTATTCACTGGATTGGCGAGAGTGTCTTTAGCAATTAAAATATGGCCTCACTACTTTGTAAATAAAATTATAGACATTCAAAAATGCAGTTTTGTGCGATTTTTGTCAAATTTACGAACAATTTTTATCACAAAATCATCTATGAAATAACGAACAGCTGTTGGGATCAAGATTATTCTTTCTAGCTGTCAGTGATATGTTTACAAATGTTGTTTACAAATACCGCAACCATTTCTGATCACGTTTTGAAAGCAAATCCCAACCAAGTGAGATTAAAAACTTTTTTCTTACAAAACGGATTTAATTAATCACGAGTGTAATATTATAGTGTAACCGTAAATGAAATTAAATAACTAGGCATCATCCAGGTCAGGAACCAGAAATTCTTTGTGTATAAAATTGTTCTTGAGTTTTGATAACCAGAAAAAAGACCTTGAATCAGTGTTGTATAGGGCTGGGACACTTTAATGATCGTCACCAATAGCTTACAAACAAGGTTTCCACTCATTGACGGCGCTTCAATGGCGATTGTGTATAGTGTAAAGTAAAAAAATCACAACTGCAGTGGGTGATTGTAACAAAGGTTTACGGATGATGCTAAACTCGCTTTTCCAGTGTGCCACTTTCTGTTTCTACTCACCGTGTGATGCAATCGCTGGACCATACAGCCAATAGGCCCATAGCCCATCTCTTGGGTACGTATGCCTACCTATTTATTCATAACAACCTTTTCGACGACGATCCTTGATACCGGTACTTTTCCATAGAATACATGGCCTACCTACTTAAGAAATAAAATTACAAATGTCCAAAAACCCAACATTGTGTGATTTTTGTCACATTCAACTGACTACTATAAGATCTCCTTGCGAAGATCAGGCACACAGCTAGTGTTATTTAAATGGGTGTCATTACCTCACCGAGTGAGTTTTTTAAACTTTACTTCACGCGTGAAGTAAAGAAGATCTATACATCACGCTTGGGATAGGGAAGTTAAACATTGCAGGTTAATTTAAGAATCATAACTAACTGCAGATATTTAATAGCGTGTAATTGGTTATAGAGAATATTTGCTGTTGTTTCAGTTGTAAGCTCAGCTCTTTTTTCTAGGTAGGCTAGTAACAAGCCTAGTTCCACATAACCTTTTCTACTAAAGTTATTAAGTTACTAGTATTAAGTTATTGGTTATATCACCAACTGCATTGTACATTCAACAGTTAAATTCAAGTAGAAAGTCTTATAGCCTTTGAGCCTTCACCCCAATGTCCATGTTTACCGATCTACCTTTACCACAAACACTATTCCTCTTGACAATCCCAACTCCCGACTGTCCGCACGGTTAAATCACAATCAAACTGTCTGCAAATAAACAAACTGTCTCGCGCGGGCTTAGGAGCTAAGCTCAAAATACGATCGGTCGAAGAAAAGGATCAAGTCGAAAATAATT